GTGTCAAGGCTGAATGGTCTTCTTTCTACCCTGCCTGACTGGAGACAGTGCCATTAATTACTGGCCAGTAATGTTTAGCAAATTCCATTGGTATATGATAAATGTGTGGGTAAAGGACATTGCGATACATAGTTTGGTGGGAGGGCAAGGAAAGAGAGAGAGACTTTAGACAGGATGGGCAGAAAGATGACTCAGAGCCTCATCAAGTGTATGAGTGAAGGTGTTGAGCATTATCCATAGAGACAGGTGGGTGTTACAAACATGTGAAATATTGGGAAACAGGTGTATGATGGTAGGTGTTGGACATCCGGCACAGCATGGGGTAGCAGGATGAGGTGTAGAAGCAGTAATTTAAGTGAAATGTGTCTCTCCATTACCAGCCTCAGGAGAAGAGTTGATTATTTCACTACACTGTGTTTTTAATGCCAACAGTGTATATACTGATACCTCTGTGAAAGAGCCTGCTAATTAAGTGCTAAATTACAGGTAAATGTATGATTTGGAAGGAAGGAGATTATCAGAGATGATGTGGTTCAAGAGGGAAATAGTCAGTCCTGCTTTCATTTCTCCTGATCAATTAAATAATGTCTGCCATCTATAGGTCTGTGTTGTGTAAGGCATATATTGTGATGTATCACAAACCCATATTTTGAATCCCTGGAATACAATATTTAAGGAAAAACTGCCATAGTTAACAATGGCTTATTTCAGACAGGAGGCCAGCTCTGGCTAAATTTATAAACGGTGACAAAAATTCCTGGAAAAACTCAGCAGGTCTGGCAGCATTTGTGGAGAGAAATCAGAGTAAACGTTTCAAATCCAGTGACCTTCCTCAGAAGTGAAAGGAGATTATCAGAGATGAAGTGGTTCAAGAGGGAAATAGTCAGTACCGCTTTCACTTCTCCTGGTCAGTTAAATAATAAATAGCAGTTCTGAGGAAGAATCATTGGACCTGAAACGTTAACTCCGATTTCTCTCCACAGATGCTGCCGGACCTGCTGAGCTTTTCTAGCAATTTCCGTTTTTGTTTCTGATTTCCAGCTTCTACAGTTCTTTTGGTTTTTATTTATAAGCAATGATATGAGTTTGAGTGTCAATTTTCATATTTCTCTTACTTGTTATCTCCCTCAGCATTATTAAGTTCAGGATGGATATTTCTACTACGAGTTATTTTTTTCTAAAAGCTTGAAGATGTCACAATCCACTTGGGAAGTGCTCCACTACCTGAGCCTCACTACTTCCAGATCATCACGAAAGTGAAGGATTTAATCAAATTACTCAAAAGTCCCCAGTTATGTAGCTTGATGAACACTGGTTAACAGAAAACAATGACCAGGTTAATGAATTTAAGAAACTATTTATTAAAATTGAATCAGTTCTAACTGTGGGCAAACAAAATATGAATTATCAATTATAACTCTATCGATTCTTAAACCTCTACAAGTTGGTTAGCTCAGTTGGCTGGACGGCTGGCTTGCAAGGCAGAGTGATGTCTGCAGCATGGGTTCAGTTCCCACACCAGCTGAGGTTACCATGAAGGACTCTTGCCCTCACATCTGAGGTGTGGTGACCCTCAGGTTAAACTATCATCAGTCATCTGTCTCTAATGAGAGAGCAACCCTATCATTTGTAAGACCACAGCGACTTTACCTTTTATAAACATGCAGATAGATATGGACAATAAAAATAACTTTGATGTTATGGTTGGAGAAAAACAGTAAGGAGAACATAATTCGTTAACACCAGTCTGCAGGATTTAATGATGTGTTTTTTTTTGTTTCTCTGAGTCCTTCTGATTGCTGATCTTCTTTCCAAGTGGTTTCAGTACTTGACTGCAGACACAGGGCAATTGCTACACTAATTGTTCACTCTATCAGTCACTGGTTAGTAGTAGCAGCAACTGAGAGACAAATGGTGAGTGAGTATAAGTAGGTATCTTCCAAGTCTTTGTTATTCTCTGCAATGATAGAGATACTGTCTTTTTAGAGCTTGAAGGCTTTCTATGCAGGGTATCCAACTGCCTCAGAGCCTGTCGGAGAGTTGTAGTCATGCTGAACATTCCTGACCCACACAACTGGTCCTGATTGAAAAATCAGACAACAGACTGGCACTGTGGGTGGGTGTTTAGGAAGAGACAAAGAGCCCAGCAATCCTACCCGACTGCTTGACCAAAGCAACAGAGTAAATACAACTCGTGATGAGATATAGAGACATAGAGCTGTACGGCACGGGAACAGACCCTTTGGTCCAAATTGCCATGCCGACCACATATCCTATATAAATCTAGTTCCATTTGCCAGTATTTGGCCCATATCTCTCCAAACCCTTCCTATTCCTATACCCATCCAGATGCCTTTTAAATGTTGTAATAGTACCAGCCTCCACCGCCTCCTCTAGCTGCTCATTCCATACAAGCACTACCCTCTCTGAAAAAGTTGCCCTTTAGGTGCCTTTTATATCTTTCCCCTCCCAACTTAAACATATGCCCTCTAGTTTTGGATTCTCACATCCTGGGGAAAAGATCTTGCCCATTTATCCTATCTGTGATTTTGTAAACCTCTGTAAGGTCAACCCTCAGCCTGCAACATTCCAGGGAAAATAGCCCCAGCCTATTCTGCCTCTCCCTATCGCTCAAACCATCCAACCCGAGAGCAACATCCTCAGAAATCTTTTCTGAACTTTTTATGGTTTCACAAGATCCTTCCCTACAGGAGGGAGACCAGAATTGCATGCAATACTTCAAAAGTAGCCAAATCAATGTCCTGTATAGCCGCAATATGACCTCCCAACTCCTGTATTCAGTGCACTGACTAACAAAGGCAAGCATACCAAATGCCTTCTTCACTGTCCTATCTATCTGAGAGTCCACTTTCAAGGAATTTATGAACCTGCAAGGTCTCTTTGTCCAGCAACGCTCACCAGGACCTTACCATCAAGTGTATATGCCCTGACTTGCCTTTTCAAAATGCAGCACCTCACGTTTATCTAAATTAAACTCCATCTGCAGCACTTTGGCCCATTGACCTATCTGATCAAAATCCTGTTGTACTCTAAGGTAGCCTTCTTCTCTGTCCATTACATCTCCAATTTTGGTGTCATCTGCAAACTTACTAACCATGCCTCCAATGTTTGCATCCAAATCATTTATGTAAATGACAAAAAGCAGTGGACCCAGCACCGATTCTTGTGGCACACCGCTAGTCACAGGCCTCCAGTCTGAAAAGCAACCCTCTACCATCACCCTCTGTCTTCTACCTTCGAGCCAGTTCTGTATCCAAGTAGCTAGTTCTCCCCGTATTCCACGTGCTCCAACCTTGCTAACTAGTCTACGATGAGAAACCTTGTCGAACACCTTACTGAAGTCCATAAAGATTATATCCACTGCTCTTCCCTCATTAATCCTCGTCGTTACTTCAAAAAACTCAGTCAAGTTAGTGAGACACGATTTTCCATGCACAAAGCTATGTTGACTATCCCTAATCAGTCCTTGCCTTTCCAAATACGTGTAAATCCTGTCCCTCAGGATCCCCTCCAAAGACTGGCCCATCACCGATGTCAGGCTCACCGGTCAATGGTTCCCTGGCTTTTCCTTACCACCTTTCTTAAATAGTGGCACTACGTTAGCCAACCTCCAGTCTTCTGGCACCTCACCTGTGGCCATTGATGACACAGATATCTCAGCAAGGGGCCCAGCAATCGCTTCCCGCAGAGTTCTAGGGTACTCCTGATCAGGTCCCAGGGATTTATCCACCTTTGTGTTTTAAGACATTGAGCACCTCCTCTGTAATATGAACATTTTTCAAGATGTTGCTATTTATTTCCCCATGTTCTATACCTTCCATTTCCTTCTCCACAGTAAACACTGATGCAAAATACTCGTTTAGTATCTCACCCATCTCCTACGGTTCCACACGTAAGTGGCCTTGCTGATCTTTAAGGATCTCTACTCTCTCCCTTGTTACCCATTTAGCCTTAATGTATTTGTAGAATCCCTTTGGATTCTCCTTAACCCTATTTGCCAAAGTTATTTCATGTCCCATTTTTGCCCTCCTGATTTCCCTCTTAAGTATACTCCTACTGCCTTTATTCTCTTCTAGGGATTCACTCAATCCCTGCTGTCTATACCTGACATATGCTTCCTTCTTTTTCTTGACCACAGCCTCAATTTCTCTAGTCATCCAGCCTTCCCTATGCCTACCAGTTGCGCCCTTCACCCTAACAGGAACATTCTGTCTCTGGACTCTTGTTATCTCATTGTTGAAGGCTTCCCATTTTCCAGATGTCCATTTACCTGCGAACAGCTTCCCCCAATCAACTTCCACTAACTTGTTTTAAATCTGCAACATCTTTCATAGCTTCCTTGTTTTAAAGCAATATCCTGTCTTATTTTAGTCCACAGTTCCAAAGTAAAGAAACATTTGAAGAAAAGTGCTCTTTACAATGGAAGAATCAGAAGTATCCAGCTGTTCAAAAATTTCAGAAGCGATTTTACAAGAATGCTTTAATGGGGAAACTCTAGTTTCTCCTGACTATTTTTACAAGTTAGACACTAAGATTCTTTACGCTGCATTTGTTTGTCCCTGAAGTTTTTTTGCCATGACCAAATGTAATCCTTGATTATTTACCGCATATTGTTGCATGAGGACTCAGCAAAGGAGTTTGATTGCAGTCTCTGTTCAGTTGTAGAACTGATGACATCAGTTATCTCCCATGCATCCACCTTTTTCTTGAATATAGTCACACAAATAGCCTTTATTTTTTCCTTGTCACAAATACTATCTTTCTCTACAGTGCGTCTGGAAGAAGAGGAGACTGGTTTGCTCTCATTTGTAGCTTTCTTTTCTGTGGGATTGAAGAGGATAATAACCTTATGAAATTCTGCTACCAGCACTTTCAATATTACTGAAGCAAACTCAAGCATTGTATTAATTCAGCACTCTTGTAAAGCAAACCTGACGTTGCCTTTTAAAACGCATTTTTTTTTCCTCTCTGACAGAAAACAGCAGATGCTCCCTCTGAGATTTTTATGCAAAATGCAAGAGTGAACACTATCTCCAAAGGACTGAAGAAGAGAAATAAACTCGGTAGATACAGATTATTTATCCTGCTGTCTTTTAGCCATTTTGATTAACAATTTGCAGTTGATTTTTGAATAATATTTTAGGGTAGAGTTGTCCAAAGAATGTGGAATAAATGAAAAAAAAACTAGAAATGTTTCTGACTATGCATTAGCATCATTCTAGTTTGGATTGAAATTAATATCTATACAAAGAGCTTTTTCAAGATTGAGGCCTTGTAAGAAAAAAGGAGACTCACCTGCTAAAATGAGAAATAGTAAAGGTCCTTTACTCACTGCTCATAAACTATTAAAATTGAGTTTATAAATAACGCATACTAATGACTGAGTCAACGTGCAAACACATGATTTAAATATTATGCAATTTTTTAAATTTGTAAGAAACATCAGAACTGACAACGAATCACTCTGTGAAGTTGTTGAGGTTTCACAGGGACTTTTATACAAAAATAAAACACTATTGGGGTTGGAAATCTGAAATCAAAATCTCAGTGGAGTGAAACAGTCAAATATCATCTTGTCCTGAAACATTCATTGGGACTAAAATACTGCCTGACCTGCTGAGAATTTTAAGCATTTTAAATTTTTTATTTCTGTGTCTTTATTGGAATTAGTACATCAGAGTAATTCTTCAAATTAAAATTTATATTTACCTCCAGGCTCGCAATTTAAATGAATTGTTTAAGCATTATAAACAGAATGCTAATGAGCTATCAGTTACATTAAATCCTGCTGGGCCTTTCGCTAGTGAGTTATCAGATCAATCTCTACTTTCCTCCTCCTGCCTTCACCCTACTTAGCCCACAAGTTTATTTGGTTGCATTAGCTGACACCAAGGATCATGTGTAGTATGCTCTAAGGAGATGCTTGCCCAAGCACGAGTGAATGAGATATTGGGTTGTTCAATTCTCCTGCACTACTTCTGTGCACTTGTGCATTGCGGAAGTTTGTGTAGGACACAGTGATGTACGGGGCCTGGAACTGTGTGCGTGCTGTATGAGCACATACGTACATCACTCCAAAATTCCAGCGTCACCAAACACTGCTGTTTTTTCCCGAGGCCATCTGTAGAATACCCCTATTGCGAGTACCTCTGCACTATTACTGTGCTCCCTTATTCAAAACAACTAGAAAAAATGAATTCTTGATGGATTTTTTAAAGAAAAATCTGCAAGTGAACTCTTGCTCTGCAGGAAATAGTCTGAAAGAATGGGCAAATAATTTGCTAATACCAGTGTTGTTTGGGGATTAAACTGGCTTTTCTCCATAACTCTTGGATATCCAGTCCAGATCCTTCAGTTGTGTCAGCGATGTTGTCTTTCAGGTGAGACGTTGGACTAAGGCCCTGTGTCGTCTTGACTGCATGAATATGGTGGTGGATGTGCTGATCAAGCAGGCAGCGTCGTCATGAACAGTGTCCAGCTTCTTGAGTATTGCTGGAGCTGTAGTCAATCAAATAAATGGAGAACGGAATAGCCACAATATTTATATTCTCCCCAGGACATCAATAATTGTGATTCAGCAATGGTCAAGTGCAAATGTCTACCTTTACTGTTGTTGGAGATAATTATTACCTGGCACTTGTATGGTGTGAATATCACTTATTACTCAACCCCGAATGTCGTCCACGTTTTTCTGCATATAGATACTGAAGTAGTCTGTGTCCAAACAGTTGCATGTGGCCCTGAACGCTACGTGCTCATCAGCGAATATCCCCAGTTTTGACGTTAAAATGGAGGGGAGGTCATTATGTAAGCAGCTGAAGATGGCTGTGCCTAGCACATGTGGACTCTTGCATCAGAAGGCCCAGGTTCAAGTCCCACTTGCTCCAGAGGTGTGTTGTAAACGTGTCTGGACAGGTTGAATTAAAAAATCTATCCTGAACAACATGTGCTGCATTGTCCTGGGGCTAAGTTGATTGGCTTCTTAAAAACCATTACCAGCTTCCTTTGTGCTTGGTATGAGTCTAGCAATGGTGCTTTCTTCCATCCATCATCTTAGATAATTCCAATTTTCAAATCCACAGGCACCAGTCCTCAATCTAGAATGTTTTTGAAATTTATTGCTGGTACACCTGCAGTTTCTTTTAATACCCCAGGGTGGAATCCATCAGGTCCTGGAGATTTATCCCATTATTTTCTCCATTACCATTTTAATTAATGTTAAATCCACTGAGTGTCTCTCCTTGAATTATCTTTTAGACTTCTTGTACAACTAGTATTTTGAACTTTTTCTCCACTGTGAACAGGGATGGAAAGTACTCATTTAATAGATCTGTTTCTTTACTGTCCATTATAACCTACATTGTCCTTGATGGATTTGCATTTCTGTCTCTCTCTAATCAGTAGATTAATGTTTATGGGCTTTGGTTGAGTTTAACTGAGGGACAATTAGCAATTTAGTCCAATTAGTCCATCTTTTATATCATTGTTATATTTCTCTTAATTGCAAAGTTCATATGCAAACCAAACTCATAACTTTTTTTGCTGCAGTATTTGCAAGCATTGCCAATGCATGAACTTGACCCCTTTTCTGCAAAGAAAGAAAATCTTGTCACATTATAGATGTGGAATTAAAGAGTGCTATTGCTATGCATTTAATAGGCTTTGTTGGTTTCCTTCAAGTAGTAATCAGCTGTGCATGTAAACGATTAATTTTTAACCAGAACCTAACCTGTAATGCTTCATTGCTATATTGATCAAGTGTCTGTATTGTGTCTTAGATCGAGGCTGTGAATGGTATGTTTGTGAAGGCTTTCAGTACATACTGAACCAGCAAGCGAAGGCTTTGGTAGCCTTGGGCGCATCTCCACTGCTCAAAGTAAGTGGTTATTACTATATTTAACACCGCTATGTTAACTAAATGAATTATTTAAATATGTTCAATGTTATAATCTAATATGGTCTGAAGGAATGCCTGAGACCTAATGAAATGAGGGAACTGATGATGAATATATTAATTGAGTTAATTGGTTTGACTTGGTTGTATAAATTTAGGGAGCTAGTAGTCAGTGGTGGGTTAGTTTTATGGAGTGTGACTAATTGAAATAAATCTCCCGCTTAGAAGTGTGGACTTAAATTCTGTTTAAATACAGTTATCTTTTGGAGGATAACATTGAGGTTACAAATGCTGTATTTTTGCTGACACAGTGCATGATTAGATTCATGGTCAGATGTTAGTATCTTATCATAAAATCATAGAATCCCTACAGTGTGGAAACAGACCATTCAGCCCATTGAGTCCACACTGACCCTGCGAAGACCATCCTACCCGTCCCACCCTATCCCTGTACCCTTGCATTTCCTGTGGCTAATGCACATAACCTACACATCACTGGACACTACAGGGCAATTTAGCATGGCCAATCCACCTAACCTGCAAATCTTCGGACTGTGGGAGGAAATCGGAGCACCCAGAGGAAACCCGCGCAGACACGGGGAGAATGTGCAAACTCCACACAGACAGTTGCCCAAGGGTGGAATTGAACCCGGGTCCCTGGCGCTGTGAGGCAGCAGTGCTAACCACTGAGCGACCGTGCCGCCTCTTCTTGAATCTGTTTGACATGGTAAAAACCGAAAGAACTGCAGATGCTGTAAATCAGGAACAAAAACAGAAGTTGCTGGAAAAGCTCAGCAGGTCTGGCAGCATCTGTGAAGAAAAAAATCAGAGTTAACATTTTGGGTCCAGTGACCCTTGCTCAGAGGGTTTGACATGGTGTCAGGCACCAGATAGATCTACTTGTGCGGTGTCATAATTCTGAAATGATGCAGCCTGGTGTTAGCGGTGGCAGTTTTGATGTCATTTTGAAAGGAATTGTGTGTTTTTTTGCTGAACAAAATATCAAGGAGGAACTTAATTCTTCAAACATTTGCATGCTTTATGCATAATTTATTACAACTTTCATTTGTTATCCATGAATGGTTGATGCAAAAGTGAATATTTATTCATGGCTTCTATTATTATGGAGATTTTTTCTTTGCAAGATGTCAATCTTGTGGTTCTCATTTAGACTTTCTATTCAGTGCATTGGCCATGTGTAATATGCCCTATCTATTACTTAGTTCCACTGAAGTCAGTGTAGCTGTATATATTGTGGATCCCATGGTGGCTAATGCAAATGCTCCTGTTTTGTGCTGCTACCCAAGATGGCTGATCAGTATCTTGGCTCTGTTTACTTATGTTTGTT